TCATGTTTTGAAACAAGCTTTCTTGCAGGCACTGGCTCTGGACTGGATTCCCTCAGACAGATCATCTGTATGTAATCTGTATGTAAGTGAAAGAAATGGGTTGTGAGCTGCTGTGCTGGCGCAGGAGCATGGAGGTAGGCATCGTATGGTGGGTTATTATTCAGGACTCCTTGATGCGGTGGCCAAGGGGCCATTTTTATGTGTTGTGCAGGCTACCTGCCTGGCTGTATAAACTGTGAATAATCTGGTGTAGAACCAGCAGACCGAATGAAAAGATTTAATTGAGCTTGTAAATATGCTAAATGGAAAATTGTATCGATTTATATAGACTGTATATACACATTTGGTGTATGCCACAATGTTGGATGGCGGTGGAGGAATAGGGATTTCCTCAACATGGCAGGGACTCCAGTTAAGAATGCTGGGTTTGTCTCTGAACTGTTAGAAGCTTTGGTAAAGTGTAAATCACATAATAAAGAAATGTTTCCAGTAACTCAAGGGAACAACTTTGCAGATGCAGCTGTCATGTGAGCAGTCCTGGTAAAACAGGAGTCAGAGACCCCTGTGAAACCTTTGTTGGTGAAAAGGGGACAGCTACAGGACATTCAGGCTGAGGCCTCTAAAGCAGAGAAAAGGACAAGGTTAGAAAAGAATGTGGTGTTGCCAGCACACTGGACGCCCTGCATGCCCTCACAGCCTAATACCCTTTGTAGCCCGACAAAGGCACTCTGTCGGACACCCAGGTGTGAGTCAAATGGTGTGCCAGTTACCCAAAACTGGGTGGGGACCTGGTTTGAAGCAGTAGCCACTTATGTGGTATCTCGATGTGATGCTCATCAAAGGAACTCAACTACAGTTCAGGTGTGGGTGCAACAGCTCAAAAGGCCTGCTCCTGAGGAAACTTTCATGTAGTGGCAAATTGACAATTGTAAAGGGAAACCTTGGCTCTTATAATATGTTTTCCCAGTGTGTTGCTGCCACTGCCTCTTTGTCTTCCAAACACTTGATGATGGAGATAAGCCCTCGGTGGGCACTGCCCTGCCGCTTGTATTATGATGAAGGGATGCACTTCATAGAGAAATTGTGTCAGGCTGTGGCTACATTATTCGGGGTGAGATGGACTGAGATCACCCTCAGTCTGCTGGAACAGTGAAACGAATGAATAGAATTCTGAAAGATCGACGAAACATCAGACTGAAGGAACACCATGGGTAGATGCTCTGCCTATGTAGCCTGCGGGCTGGATCAAACAGAATTGTGTAACAGAGCCTGTTTGATATCATCACGAACCAACCAACGAAACTTCCTTGAGGGCCAAATCTGGTTAATTGATCATTGAATTTGCTAATTGTAGATCGTTAGTTGAAGCAGTGCATGGGGCTGGTGAACAGGTGCTAGACGTTTGGAGACCTCCAGTAGATGGAAGACATGACCTGATACCTGGCGAGTGGGTGTGGGTGAGGAAGATATACCCTGCCAGATGTTGCAACCCCGCTGGGGAGGGACCATATCAAGTGCAACTGACTACCGACTCTGCCATCTGAGTGACAGGATGAGATCACTGGTTCTACGCCTTGCACTTCCACCGAGCCACTGCACCAAAGACTGAGTGAACATTATTATGTTATTACTATTTCTGTGTTTGTTGAGCTTCCTGAGGGAGGGCGACAGTGTGCCTGTTAAGTGTAAGGAGTTTTACTTTGATAAATGGGGATATGGAATCAATACTTTATCAATCAGCCACAAATGATAATCAGAGCTCATGTTGGGTTTGTATTAATATAAAAGATGCTCATGGGAGTAATCCCCTTTGAAAGAATCCTGCCTGGCCTTGGTCAGTAAGATAAGGGCATGTATTTTGTAAGCTGCTTGTACGCCCAGAATATGAAAAGAACTAACTGTTGTCTAGTCTGCAACTTAGATATAATTAATTGGCAGGTGTTGCTTTTCAATCATTTGTTTAGAATATGTCATAGTAACTCTTTCTGTTTTAAGGTATAAAGGACCATCTTCAGCTACTTATTTTTTAAGTCTGGTGGTTGCAAGCCAGACTTCCATATGCATATGAATAAAGAGACTTCTGCTTCACAGACACCTGAACTTTGTCATTTGTTTGACACTACACATATATTTAACTAAAAATTGTTGCCACTCATCAACGCAAAGTACTCTATAATGTCAAAGTGAAAAACAAATCCACACATTTCACTAAATAAAAAATAAAAAACAGAAACTAATTGAATGGATATGTATTTACCCCCCACCACCACAGAGTAATACTTGGTAGGACCATCTATGGCAGCAATAACAGCTGTGAGTCTCTTTTGGTAAGTCTCTATCAGCGTTGCACATCTTGACACTGGAATTTTTGCCCATTCTTCTTGGCAAAATTGGTCAAGCTCCATCAAGTCGGATGGGGACCATTTGTGAACAGCAATTTTTAAGTCATTCCACAGATGCTCAATTGGACTGAGGTCTGGGATTTGATTGGGCCACTCCAGGACATTAACCTTTTTGGTTTTAAGCCACTCTAGTGTGGCTTTTGATGTATGTTTTGGGTCATTGTCCTGTTGGAAGTTGAATCGTCTTCCAAGTCCCAGTGTTCTTGCTGATTGCTGATGTTTTCCTCCAGGATTTTTCTGTACTTAGCTTCATTTATTTTTCCTTCTATCTTTATGGGCTTTACAGTCCCTGCCACAGAGAAGCATCCCCAAAAAATGATGCTGCCACCACCATGCTTCACTGTAGGGATGGTGTTCTCAGTGTGATGTGCTGTGTTAGGTTAAACATATCACTTAGCATTGAGGCACAAAACTTCAATTTTGGTCTCATCAGACCATAGAATCTTCTTCCAAATTGTTGAGTCTCACATGCCTTTGGTCCAACTTCAGCTGAGTTGTCCAGTTGTCTCATGCAGTTTCTCCCATCTTTGTCATGGAGGACTGTAAATCCTTTAGAGTTACCGTAGGCCTCTTGGTGGCCTTCCTTACTACGGCTCTTCTTGCCTGGACACTCCGTTTTGAACAACGGCAATTTCTGGGCAGATTCACAGTTGTTCAAGATTTTCCTCACCTTTTTATTGATGGACTTCACTGTGCTACAAGGTATAATTAATGCCTTGGAAATTTTCTTATATTCTTGCCCTGACTGGTATTTTTCAAGAACCTTGTCTTGGATCTGCTTGGAATGTTCCCTGGTCTTCATGGTGTGTGGGGAAGTGGGGAAGCTCCTGGACACAGGTGCATTTATTCTGAAATCATGTGAAACACCTCAACTGCACAGTCAATTGATTTGGAGAAAAGAGTTGATTACTTCAGAGATAATTTATATGGGTCAAAGTAAGGGGGTGAATACTTATGCATTCAATTATTTTCTGTTTTTTATTTTTAATTAATTTAGTAAACTTCATTTATTTCACTTTGACATGATAGAGTACTTGCTGCCGATGAGTGGCAAAAATTCTCAGCTAAATAAACAATAAAATGTGAAAAAGTCCAAAGGGGGTGCAAGGCACTGTAGCTTGGAATCACTCTAACCAAAGCAAGGGTAATTCTTGTGTGTGTATATTATTGTTGACTTGCTTAACAGATCCCTGCTTACTGACTTACAATATAAAAAAATACATTCATTGTAAGTACAAGGAGTATTATGCAACTAAAGCAAAATTTATTGAAAAGGCTATTTCACTTCCAGAGCCCAATCATTATCCAGCTTCGCTCCTTAGTGATTGAATGAACTACACAAAAAAAATTGTAAATATGTAGTCTTGATCGGCTATCTGTTTCTACTCAAAACTGATCTATTTAGAGAACATTTGTGATCACAGAATTCTCAATTATATCCTTCAGTAACCTTTGCTTGTATTTCACTGGTAGACCATTGTTTATGTCGCTTTCTTTATTGCAACAAAGGAGGACAAAGTTAATAGCTTAACCTCATCTCTCACTCACTTTTCTAAGGGCAGCAACAGGCTTTTATTCCTGAAGATCTCATATACAAAAACATACATTTTTATTATTGGTCAGTAACAGTTTGATACAAGAAGTAAACAAGGTTAGAAACCAAGGCAGTTAGGTCAGCCTTGAGAATTAACCCAAGACCTCTGTTCTGTTTCATGTTGCCAAATGAGTGTAGGGTACATGAGCTACACCTCCAATTGAAAGATCTTGGAGAAACACAGGCCAGCTGGGAATGTACAAAATAATAAAACTGTCCTTGAGGGCTTAATTCTTAACTCATAACAGGCATAGGTACCCTCAGCACTAAAGTGTTTAATTTTCACAGTGGAAATATAATTTGCTATTTGCACTTCTTCACTGTAAGCATGGAAAACATATAAAACAGAAGTTGGGGGTTGAGCTTGATCTCAGAAGCTAAGCAAAGTTTGTCAAAATATATCAGTCCTTGGATGGAAAACATCCGAAAAAAATAATGTTACTGCAGTAACAGTTTTGGTGGTTCAGTAGGTGGCCCTTTTCCCTCCTGACTGGTATTTCCATAAACCTATGTCGCGGTGTGGCCTATGCCCCATGCCAGTAATCGTTCATCAGAGAATCAAAGTCCTGAAATCATTCCTTACATCTCCACCTCATCTGCTGTACAGTGTGGCTGCTGCAATATTCAGGTGGGTCTCACATTTCATTGGTGGATGAAGTAGGTACACTCATGTACTGTATGTGAAGTGGATCGGAATCCTTAGGGTGAAAGGTGCTATATAAAATAATTTATAGTATATATAAAGAAATAAATTTTATATATAAATAGGGCGTTTACATTATTGTTGTGTTACAGATGCAAATACTCCTAATTCTTTGATTAATTTTATTTTTATGGCAATAACAATTTTATACTTAGATGCAGCTCCTGTTTAAACAAAATGTAAAGCTGAAACTTTTACAGTAAGGCAGATGATGACTTTTAAGTAGCTAGCTGTTTCTTCCAACCTCACAAGCCTGGGTGAAGACACGAAGCTAAATAAAATATGAGAATATTCCAAGAAAGAAAATTAACTATTTCTCCTTTTTATTCTGCATTAGACTCTGGTAAGAAAGAAACTGTGTACTCCAGACAATCAAGGTTACAAAACGGAAACATTTACAGAATAAATTTATAGACAAATTAGGCTAAAAACAAGAACAAAGAAGTCATGTTGCATTAAAAATAATGTTTAAGTTCTATTTACATACGTTCAGGCATTGACAAAGGCAGCCCTAATACAGTTCTTGTATGCAATCCCTAGCATCAATGTCTGGCAAAGGAGGCTGATATGTCTTGGTGAACTGCTGAAAAATTCAACATGCAGATCAACCTTAAGTGTGATTTGTCTTGGCCACTTCTTAAAAACTGTTTAAAGATTTTAAAAAAATGTTTCCAAAGCACAATAGAAACCTACTTTTGAGGTCTAGGCTTTAAGAAATACTGCTATGGCTGAAATATCCCTTCATTATTTCTGAACAATAAAAACATGCAGCAGATACCAGCAACAAGGGTAGAGCTTTCAAAGCTTGCAATAGAAGAACATTAAATATCATATTTAATGTAATAAATTGTCATTTTAATTTAGAAGATAAACATGAATCATTCTCTAGTGTATATCTGACACAGACACAACAGATTTAATAGATGACACAGAGGGACGTATTTAAAAAGAACATAAATGAAGAAATTATATTTGGGCAGACCTGCAAATGTCAACCTTAGTAGAAAGAAACATTAGTAGTAGATCCTCTACTAATGACTAACAATATAACAATTATTACATTTCGCTATATATTAAGTTAAACCCGGTCACTTATCTGGCATCCAAGGAGACCTTCAATCAATTCAGCACACATGACACAATTTAATTGTGTAAACAAGTAATGTTATGGTTTCTTAGAGTGCAGTTCCATCTCCAAAGACTCTTGCCACTTAGACAATGTTTGAGGATCAACCCACATGAATGAATGTATATGCTTTCTTTAGTATGAGTATGATTAACTTTTAAATCTATTAAAACAGTCAGGCTTCAGGCAGTTATTTCTACATCATAACAATCATCATTCAGGAGGTTATAAGGAATGCTGGTGGACCTGGAGCTTGAATGAACAAAACATTTATTGCACATGACTCTCAACAGCCAAGGATGGAGTGGCAGCATCTCAGTGATAAACTTCTTTCAGGCAAAGCCCAGTGTTGTGTTCAGGAATAAAAATAAACAAAAAATTGGAAAAAATCCTGTTAAAGGCAAATCCGAAACACTGCTAAAGAAAATAAAGCCGGCTACCACATTACACGAAGTTGAGTCATCAATGGTTGTACAACTTACAACTTAACTGTCCACACATGGCCTACATGTTCAAGAAATACATTACAATTTAATACACAAGCTTGAAACTAAAATGGACCACTAGCTACAGTTTCACAAGCTATGGCTTAGCCTTATGATGACTTGTACTGTGTACGCACTTTGGATTCAAATTATGAGAATTATTAGCCAAGGGTATTAACAATGCACAGTAATATGTATTAAGGATACATTTCCAGTTTGTATTCTTTGGCCTTTGTCACTTGTTCTTGTGCATTAATTAACATCACTAAAATGTTGTATGATAACACAAATGCAACTTGTGGAAGAAGGCCCTGTATCAAATAAATTGATGTCAGCTCCAAAAGTGATGAGACTTCAAACCCTTATACAACCACTGCTTTGAAATGCTGCTGTTATCAATCTCACAACATGGTCTTGTTAAATAAAAAAAGAACTACATTTCATGGGGAAAATTCTTCAAAAACACAAGCATTAAAATTCCTTGAGTACATGGATATCTAAAACACGAGAGTAAGCACCTTAGTAGTATTATACCACTGCCCCTCCTAAACGTATCCAATGGACTGATTGTTTGAGTCTGCCATGCAATAGCAATGCCTCATTTCCATATCTCACCTACAAAAGTGGGTTGGATTTTTTTTTAATCATCAATAATATGTTTGCCAGCTCATGCTTTATAAGCAGCATATTTAAAGCTACTCTTGAGTAGTTTGAGATCTGGACCAAGCATCAATTGATTCTTCTTCACATTGACCACTGTATTGAAAAGCCTATCAAATACAGTAGGTGATTCATATTCAAACAAACAGCAGATATGCTTGACATACGAACCCTTCAGATTAGACAGTTTAGACAGATTAGACAGTTTAACAAATGTATATTCAAATTGAGGCCCATTAGGCAATTATAGGAAATTAAGAACAACACCCCTCAAAGCTTAAAAGATTAAAGGCTCTGCATTTTGGGCTTAAGATAAGAAAAAAATAGTCAAATATAACCATAACAAAGCTTGTTAAGACACTATTACTATAGAAAGTGCTTGCATAGCAGGTGTACCAATAATTATTGAAACTAAGATTAAAGACGTTTTAGTGTATCTAAAATCTCATGTATCATGTATTTTATATTTTCTATTTCTAAAGCATGCTGATTTGTCAACTAAGTACTTTTATGTATGTACTTGATTATAGATTATAGTTTTGTCTTCTTTCATCATATTGCTAAGATCCACCTTCTTGGCAGTGGAAGCATGTATTCTTTTTCACAACTGGAGCACAAACTGTCTACAGCCACTTGCATATTGTGCATCAGTAACACCAGGGATGTTACAGAGACTGAAAGGTTCTGAGCCTGTTGGTCTTTTTGAATTAAATTCACCATTTGGATATTCAAATATATACAGTCATAGAAGACATGATACCGAATTCAATTAGAATAGCTAGGTTACACAATACACAGTGCCAAGCAACTTTGATAAAACAGATTAGTGCATTACAATCCTTGTTTTAAAATTTTAAAAGAAATATTTGTAGAGTCTATATGTATCTGTGTGAATGTTTGACATAGTGCTTTCAGTACTGAGAAATACCCTTGATCCATGAGTATGTTCCTTTTTTCAGTAACAAAGTGGCAACAACTTCAATGTAACTTTACATTTTAGAGCCATTTTGAAAAAGCTAGGTGTGTTAATAACACCCAACTGTTTATATATTATATAAACACTACTTGGCAGTCAGGTATTACGATATTAACATGCCTAACTTTGCCCTAAAATGAAATTGTATATGATTATATGATTACAGATTATAGTTTTGTTTTCTTTCATGATGAAGTCTACACTACCTTTGTAATTTATTTGTACAGAACAGATAAAAGGTTTGATATAGAACTAAAGTTTCTGTTATTATGTTTACAATGACACCATCTGAATACACACTACATGCATGCCAGTGGTTGTTATATATTGAAAGACAGCTGAAGCATTTCACCATTGAACAGTACAGTACAGATCACAAGTCTGGTGCAGGGCCAAACTGAAGGGAGCTTTGAACATTAGTTCATGCAAAGAATATACCACTAACATTCATTAACGGCACAACTTTAAAGATCATTCACTCACTTTAAGCAGTGGACTTAGGTCTCTGATTGCCACAAGTTTTGTTATGGTTTTCATTCCACTGGAATTATTTTTACCTATCTGAACTATTTCTTTAAAAAAAAACTAATACTGTCCTCTTTTCAGATCTTGAATTATTACTTCCTTATTACTTAAATAAGGAAGAACATACATTGGATTTTAGCCCCTGATGATTTCTGTTGTGGGACTTTAACCTAACTGAAGCTTGCTCATGAAATCCTGAAATCACAGCTTGAAGCTGAGCTGAAGATATTTCTTCAGGGTGATTCTTGAATCATTCCAGTATGAATAATGCTTACAATGTTAGAATTTGGACACTGTAGTAAAACATTCAGACATTACCTCTTTGTAGAAGCTAATAGCTATAAGATCCCTTTTTAAGTGTTTAAGTTTTAATTGATTTACCCCACCAACGTGGACTAATTTTATTAAACCCAGGAGTTGGTAGGGTCACCAAATGCTAAAATTACACACAGCAGTTTACAGTTCCCCTTTCCGCAAAAGGGAAAGGGAACAAATTATTTCTATCTTCTACACATTGTAAAAATAATTGAATCACTTCTAAAAACAACACTCCTTGTTAAAACTGTACAACTGTTCTTTTTGTGTTCTCTATGTTCTTTGTTGATCCCCACAGAGGATGCTGAAGTCTACAGAATGGCAGCTACCTCTACTGCTTTCTAATTAGTCTGATGGAATAACATGGAGGATGTTTCAGTTATAGGCTAAAATAAAAATGATCTACACAGTTACTATGAATGGAAAGCGAGAAATGCTAGGCAACGTGAAAGTTCCAATGGGGGAATAAAGTTGCTAAAATGAGTCCATCTCATGTCATGGAAACAAAATAATTCCATCCTTAGAGCCCCAGAATCTCCGCCTCCACCTGGAAGTTGCATCTTTCCTTTATGTAGGACACAGAACTGCAAACAAAAAGAAAAATTTCAATGCTGGAAAACAAAGAAAAGTTAATCATAGACATTTAACACAGCAACGTGCTTGTCACAGATCCTGTGTGCCTTTAAATCTTCTTTCCTAGATTTATATGTGACATTGGGTGTCCTATTATTTTATAGTAATTTAAAAAAACTCCAAAGATCAATTATGAAGCAAAACATCAGCACAAAACAGTCTCCTAGCTCAGTGTGCTCAGACGCAAAGACTCTTGTGCAATGTGAATAGCAACTTTGGACTTTGGAAAGTTTACTGACATCACAGTGAAAAGGGTGAAAAAGAATGGGAATACCCACCATTTTGTATACAAGGAATTACTGTTATTATATGTTCTCTCCATAATTCTGTAATATTTCATCAATTATAAAGGCAGAGAGCAAATTTTTAAATTAACAATCCAACTTATTTAAAAGTCATGGCTCTTCTTAAGGCCAATAATATACGTAAAAACTAATATTTTTCATTTTTTTCAAACAAATTATATTTCTGGCATTATGACAACAGTCATAATGTAATGACTTACATATTAATTGTTCACAAATAAAACGTTTCATACAAAACTGAAAGTTTTCTGCAATTACAAACTTAGTTCAGCTTTTCAATTGTCTTTCACATAAAATGCCCTGTGAGAGTATTCTAACCCAGTTTTATTTTGTTGCTTTAAATCTTGCAGTCACAACACTCTGATCAATCAATCAGTATTTGGTATCAGCCAAATCCATACATTCAAAGTTTAAAGGAAACTGGAAAAGTCATGATTGCAGAAGTATTCAAACCCTTTGCGGTAGCAAACCTAAATTAATTTTGGTGTGCACAATTACCTGTAATTGTCATTTCTGAGTCTCTTAATTGTATTTAGCGGAGTCTGCGTACAATAATAGTGGATCACATGATTTCAGAATAAATGCACCAGTCTTTGTAACATCCCTCAGTCAGGTACTGAATTGCAAGCTGAGATTCAACCATAACGATCACGGAGCCTTCAAAACTCCTCAGGCATAAAGGTGTGTGAAGGCACAGAACAGAAGAAGAGAATAAAACATTTTAAAGACCCTTTACTATCTCTTTGAAAATTGTGAAGCTGAACATTAAGAAGCAGAAAGAACTCAAGGGAGAAACTGGTTAGGGATGCATTTGTCAGTGACTTGACATAGTCCTAACTTGAAACCTATGGAAAATCAATGGAAAGAAGTGAAAACTGCTGTCCATATGTGATTACCGAGCAACATGAGAGAGCTTGAGCAAATTTACCAAGAGAAATGGGCAAACATTTGCACCACAACAGTGTGAAAGACTGAGACTTTGATATAGATTTAACAAAAAACTTTCAGTTTGTAATTGCTGCCAAAGCTGTTTCCAAAATATTGAATACTTATGCAATCACCATATTTCTGTTTTTTCAATTTAGTTTTTGCTAACATTTATTGTTATTGTACTATTAGTAGTCCTCAGTTTGAACATTTAGGTTTTTACTAAAACATTAAGTTATATGCATGCATCATTGTGTGATTTTAAAATGTGGGTCAATCATAGGAAGAGTCTGAATATGTTTGCAAGGCACTGTGTAACTGCCTAAACTAACCTAACTAAAGCTCAGGAATAACATTGGCTGCTGATGAATATTCACTGATACACTCAATCTTTAACTTTCAATTGTGTTATCTCTAGATATATTTTCCACTAATATAATTTCCAATAATATTGATATGTTTTTAACCCAAAACATTACAGCAAATATCAGTAAACATCCCACAAAAATCTGTTGATTAAATAGCATGGTGCTTGGATGCAGCCTTTTGTAAAGCACATGTAAAGCACATGTAGAACTGAGGCACCTGCGTGTGTCAGTCTAAGTTTCTTTTACGGACTAGACACTGTGAGTTTCCAGAATTGTAAGTGAAAGTTGTTTCGGTTCTGAAGGCTGACTTTTGAGTTTTAGTATTGGGCTCACAGTGCAAAAAAAAACAGATGATGATGGTGTGCACTTCAGATGCTATGTGTAGAGTGTATAGTTTCCCTTTTGTGAGGGATTGTAGTGGTAGGCCAAGTTCAATAACTGTGATTCCAGATCTGGGGTTTATAAAGAGAATTAAAAAATACAATTTTTGGTATCTTGGTTACTAAAGTAAAAAATTATCTTGATAGCTGAAGAGTGGGAGTGGGAGTGGATAAGTTCAGAAAAAGGCACAGTTTTCACCAGTCTTTACTACCACCTCTGCTTGAAGGCAAGTGGGTTCCTACATTGCTACACCTACCACCTCAAGGTCTTACTTCTAGCACAAATAATATTGAGACATTTATCCAAACCTATTTTATTCAAACAGAGTGGCAAAAAAGTATCAATATAGATACAACCATCTATCTACATGTAACGTGTTAAGACATTCATTAACCATCATTTGTCCAGCTTATTTATTGCAAATAAAAATCCCTCTAGGGTTCCCCATCAGAAAATACATTTTGAAAGCAGTTCAGATCACATATTAAGTAAAATATAGTCAGGATGAAATTTCATGATTCATATTTATCAGTTAGGGATAAGTTTAGATGTATACCATTTTTTCTGCTTACAAAGTCAGGCCCTAAAGAAAAAACATTAATAGAGTGATAAGTACCCAGAGAATAGTTTCTGTTAAGTCACTGATTTTATTTGTTTTATTAAATATATAAATATTTTGTGGAAGTACTGTAAGTGTTACAGGTGAATTTAGTAGTTTGTTACTGAAAGGTGATTGTGAACAAAGCTTAGGTTTAAAAAGCAAAAGGGTAGTTGCAGTGAAGGTAGAGGATCTAGTAGCTAGCAACACAGTGACAAACAGCAAAGAAACAAGTATCTACCAGCACTATGACAGTCTGTACACTACTCAGAAATGAGAGGCTCTCCACAGAAGCTCCTCATTCATGGGCTGCAAGCAATGCACACAAACCTCTGTCCAGATTGTCACACGAATGCTAGCAAGAACGACAAAGCAAATAAAATAAACATGAAAGATCAGGAGCTATAGTACAGAAAAATGAAACTATTATTATGAAAATATAGGATTTTATTTAGGAGTAAGAAATTAAAAACAACAACAAAAAAGAAAAAATTCACTGTTTTCAGCTTGTGTTACATCCTCAAATTAACACAAGTCTTCTGATGATCTCTGCAGCCAAATGGTGATGCTCTAAGCACCACTGTCATTGCTGTACCTAATGCTGTCATATCATGGTGAAATATTGGCAGTCAGCAAAGTCAAAGTCACCCACAGGAACATTTCTTGGCATGTACATTACAATACTGTGAGGCTACAGTCATTAATAAAAATAATGTTTTGGATTTTTCTAACATTTTTATTAAATATTCTCTAAGAAATGGTGTGGAGTGGGGGATCTTTCTAAACTGATTAAAAAGAATTAGCTAAACGTCCCTGACACAAACTGGGTTATGAATGTTGTGCTGTTCATACCTACCAGAAAGATTTCCACATTAAAGATCTTTAGATACTGTACTTCAGAAAACTATTTCAAGTTGTGTACATTTTGGAAAGCGTGAAAAGATCGTTCATCAAAAGGCTATTTGACCTCATCACTGTACGATCTGCCTTCTCGAGTTACAAAGTTCAGAACATTAGGAATAAAATAACGGTACTCTCTATTAATACTACTCCGAATAATAATAGTCCTTAGAGAAAACAATTTTGGCTAAAAACAATTAATAAATTGCGGGCTGTTATGAAAAGTAAATTATCTCCAAGTATTCTCCAAATATATATGTGCTCCAGAGAAGCAAAGGACTACTGTTGATCAAAATTAGGTTCTAAATTAAACTATGTGGTTCTTAAGAACAAATCTTTAATTTCATAAACTTATCCTCTGAGTAACTGAATCTGTACCTCATTTAATATTACTAAGCACAAAAAAACTGGCTGAATTAATAAACTGTTTAGAACAGTATGTTTTTTCCAAATGCCAAATGTTTTGTGTAGATTTTCTGAGCATTTATTACTACAGTATGACTGAGAAACATCAGATACGTAACAAGTAAAAACTGAAAGGCAGACAGGATTTCCCCCTATATTTAATTCCACAAAAAACAAAGAGAGCTTTGCCATGTATATCCATCCAACGGCTGCACTTTATAAAGAGTTGCACTTAAAGGAGGAATGTAATATATAGTAAATAAACAGAAGCAAAAATAATTCCTGGCTCCACAGACTGGACAAGCAATAACTATTTAAACATCTTCATTTTACCCGTGCATTATGCTGAAGGAGTTAATTAGGCAAGTTCAAAGAGGGTTCATTAACTAGGCCTTAACCCATATTATTTATAAACTGAACATAAATATTGGACAGGACAAAAAAATACAACCTGGGGTTGTATGGTTGCTGTTTGGTATGGCCATAAACTCTTGAATATGTCATTTTCCACTGACTCACAGCTCACCTGGTTTTCCTTATGAATTTATTTGAACCTAAGGAGATAGCCAAATATATATTACCTCATGAAAAATGAATGTGGAACCTTCCTAGTTCTTCTTTTCATTTCAATACTTTCTCACCCAAAATGGCAAAAGAGAGTGTCAGAGAGAACTTTACATACCTTTTAGGATGTAGTCTGTAAGTAAACTTGGCACTTTCTCACTGTCCTCCCTCATGGCATGAAGAACTGGAGCAGGAAACAAAATAGTTTAGGATTTAGGACAATCCTAAGAAAATAACTACGCTTTTTGCTCACTCACTGTTCCAACTGTTTGTTTTTTAAGGCATTCAAGATAGAATATCATTTAAAATGAGAAAGAAAATTCACTTATGACCAATAATATCAAAGCTAAAGGGACCCAGTATTTGAAGAATATCAAAACCACATTCTCCATTCACAATGTGATCAGAAATCACATTATTTCAGATTGGACTTGGACAGATTGGACAGTTGGGCTGACGATTTACTAAAGTGGTGATGGTATACTGTATATAGGTATGATAGGCATCATCTACCTCTGGATATTGTCTTTATCAAAGATAAGAGGTTGTACCGTTCAGAATGTTGTATAATGTGTTACAATTAAGCTCTAAAGGTTTTGGTTTTATTGTGATTATAGCGATTAGAGCTGTTGTTTTCATGTCCCCCCATAAAGTTAATAATACTACTTATTGCAGTGATTTTCTGTGTTCATTACTTTAGCCAGTGTAATATTAGTTCTTTTGAAAACAAATCCAAATAATTAACATTTTGTGGAGGTTTCCTTCAAAGTTTTCTCAAAAGGTAATTATTTTTTTCCCTTAATTGTTTAACAACTTAAAATGCAAGACAAACTTTTTTATATGGTTATCCTATTCAGAAAAGTTATTGCAGTTTTAGCTACTTATTAGTAGTATTTCATTCTGGAGACAGAAAAGGAGCAACCTCATACATTTAACAATTTATTGATAAGTTAACACTGTCAATGAAGAAAAAAAGGAACACCATACTGGGCCATTACTGCAATCGCAACACTCTAAAGTCTGCTCATACTGTGTGCCACTTAGCCCAATTGATCAGGTTTCCCATTATGGAACATCTCAGTCCCTGAAAACTTACAAAAGGAGAGTAGGTAGAAGAAGGTACAATACTTTTTTTTCACTCAACTTCCACCACTTGGATACTCTCCAGCAGGTTCATAATTGACAAATACAAAGGAGAAATAAGTCGTCACATTGAAATTTGAATGGCAATTAAATTAAAAGAAGTGCAAGGTTTTCCCTTTTCTAAGACAACAAAAGGTATAAAGGCACACTGTGCTGGTGAAAGAGTGCATTAATCAAAATAATAACATACAACAAATAAAACAAGAACGTAAATGGGTATTTCCCAAAGGAAATTATTATTAAGTCGGTCGAGAGCTTCAAAGTCTACAGAAACACTTCTGTCTAAGATGACAGAAAAATATTTTGTCCTCCTTTTTTTCATTCTTTACCCCACCCCTCTAACATGTCAATGAGAACATTTTGGAAGGATACAGAAACATTTTGTTCCTACAGTCAAGCCACACTTCTTTTTAAAAGTAGTTAAATTCCAGAAAAAAATATCAACCAATAACAAAATTCCCAAGATAGAAGTTCTTAAATTTTCCTTGTATCCCAAACTGCAGACTTTTATTATATATTACTGAACACTGTTGTCCTAAGCGAGTAGAAAACACATTACTTTTAGATAGATTTTCACATTACTTTTAAAGTGAAAAATTACGGTGAGGGAATAACAGATGTACAACATCGTAAAGCTCCGAGTTATAGTCTATACTTCTGTACGGCAGTCCATTCTTATACTTTCAGCGATATCCTTTTACAGAAATACAGGAGAATTATTAGAATTCATTTCAGAGTGTTTGCTTCAATAAAACATCCACAGGTTTAGCATGTAGTAAGATATATAAAGCATGGTGTTAAAACTAAATGTATCCATTGCCATTTGGAAATGTACACAGCTTTCAATACATACAATTTGTTTGTATACAGTACTTTAAAATGTTTTAAGGTTTTATCAATCAATTAGTCTGGGTCCCTCTGCATCAGACAATTTCCCACTGCAACATGCTGCAATTAAAGCATGCAATACTATAGGCTGCCCAATGCTTTCTGAAGTAAACAATCTGAGTTTGATGGAAACTCAGAGGAGCCAGATAGACTGATTAAAAAGTGACTGCATTCATTCCTGCTGTGTAATGGTAAAACTTCAGAAAACAAGAGCAATGATGCAATCCTACCAAATCGATAAGCCTACTAACGTGCTGCTAAAAGGGGGGTTACGTATCAAGCACTACAACAGCACAGTTGTTATAATATCCCAGTATAAGTTCTCATAGAGCACATGGAAGGTTAGTAAATGGGTAAATGGCTGAGGATAATAGTCCCAGAACCAGGGCTTAAACTTGAATTCTTCTATCAACATGTCTTTAATACTGACTTCAAACTTTTTGTTTTTTGTCATTTCCTTTGAAAAAATATATTTGATATTTGAGAGAGAAATTAAAAGCACAGAGTAACATGTAAATAAGAGATTAATCAGTATAATGCTAAAAATACATCTTTTTATTGTATGTTAATACCAAATACACTGTTTTGTTCATAACAATTATAACAAACAATTATTTTTTATAACAATTATCATAACAAACAATTATTTTCCCTGTTTTTTAGAATTCCTTTTGTTTATGAAGTGTAAAATCTTGGCCTCAAGCCACAAAGTTAATGTTTTACTAACAGTTGTTACACTGGTGTTTTGAACCATCTTTCATATAATGAGTGTTGATATTCTTCCTGAAAGGCTAATAATTAGGGACACATTAGTAACTTTTTTTTATCAAAATGAGGCCTCTCTTCCTGGCTAAACTTACTTTTGGTGAGGATCTGAAGGTCTTCAACTGATGGAGGTCCACCCTTTTTCTCATAAGGAATGACTGTGGTCAAATACTGCAAGAAAGAGAAAAAGTGTTACTGACAGGAGATGGTCCCTTCCTGATAAACTGTAATTAAGGGTGTAGCGGCAATGCTTGTTAATAAGACAGAATTAAGCGTTGGTATGGTTTCCTAAATGAGGCCCCATCTCACCCTCCATTTCTGTGGTGCAGCCACAGAGAAAGTATTCATGCAGGCTGATTTAAGATGTTTTCTTTTGATAAGG